CTGTTTCACAACATTTTGCATCTATTGGAGTTAAACCTAATTAGGCCGTTCTGCAAGGCTTGAAGCCCGAATCCTGTACATCTCTAGCTTCTTTTCAGCCTCAAGCTCCCACCGAATGTTTCTTAGGGTGCCTCTGACTGCCATAGTGGGTGCTTTCCTGATTCTGGACCAGCTTCGCCCGCGAGACCCAGTTCTTGTCCTCGAGGAAGTACAAGCTCTCCGCCAGGAAGTGGCGAGGACGAGGGAGCTGGTGCTGGAGCTGGAAGCCTCTTCTGGATCGTGTCTTTGGCAGCTGTGGGGTCAAGGGTGGCTACTTCGGCTTTCGGGGCTTGCTGATCTGGTTCTTATCTTTCTTCTGCTTCGAGGGTGGTTTCAGAGACATCGAGAGACTTCAGAGCCGACTTTAGCCTTGGAGACTTTGCCTTCGGAAACTCAGCCTTCATCAGTGGCATCTGTTTTGTTAACGGACTCCAGAGTGGAAGAAGAAGGATCAGCATCATCTACGGCTAGTCCTTCCAAGCTTGGTCGCCCTACCCGGCCCTCGGACCTTAAGAAATCTCACGCTAGATATCAATGAAGTCCAGGTCGTGATCCACTACCCCCTCGATGCGGACGGCTTCTTCTGGCACCACCGGATCCTGCTACATCGCGTAGAGGGAGGCGAGTGGTTGACCTTGACCCCGGACTTGGAGATCGCACGCCATAATCTTGGAGCACATCGACACCGGGTCTTGGACCGGGCCGCCCCTTTCCCGGCGGACATTGCAGCAGACATCTATGCTCATGACCCCATTGGGCGAGCAGCTCTGGCCAATTTCAAGAGACAGGCCCAGATCCAAGCGGCCATTTTGGGAGAGGGAGCCTTGATGGATCCAGTGGGTGGTGGCAGAACCCGGGCATGCTGACTTCGGGGAGACCGTGGACGCGGCGCTGCTGGGCAATGAGGCCACGGGTTTAGCCTTCACAATGAAAGGTGTGGTCCTTCGACACGGGGAGGAGGTGTTCGTTGAGAGAGTCGGCGTCAACGCGATGGCGGAGTGGAGGCGGACCAAAGGCCTGGAAGGGGCCGATGTCCGACTTCTTGGCGACCACAGAGATGCTGCTGGAAAGAAGCAGCTTGACCTCAGGCAGGCGGTGACCTTGATGAAAGACCCTGTCGACGGTGACTTCCCCATAGCTGGCGTCAAGGCGGCCAAGGAGTTCCATGTCAGCGTGGCGGCTTCGGCGGGCGGCTTCCTCTCCTACCACTCCGAGTGGCTTCGGCTTTCAGGAGTGTCCAAAAAAGGCCAGTGCAGTCCATGTTCACCGAGCCCTTTGTGAAGCCCTTCGACTCATGCATAGCTATGACCAGGTCGATGCTGTGCTTTGGCCTCAGGAGAGCACCTTTCCAGGTGGATGATTCAGACAGCCGTGGAGCGGAACCCCATGCAGCCGGACTACACTGGCCTGGACATCGTGGATGGCACGGCGCAGCTTCCAGATGGACGGGCGGCGACCGCCAAGTTCACCGAGTGGGTCTCGAATCGGCTCAAAGAACGAGCCTCCCCTTGGAAGCAAGAGCGGCTTTACCAGCAAGAGCGACGACAGCTTCGAGGCAAAGGCCGCGATACGGAGGGAGGAGACGAGACCGACTCGGACGAGCTTGGCAAAGGCAACCGGCGCAAAAGGAAGAAGAAGAAGAAGAACAAGGAGACAGCGGACAAGGGAGAATCAGGCGCCCAACAAGGCAAGGGCGCCAGTGGCTCAAAGTGAAGCAGATGGATGGGCCCAGCCGAGGGGGCGACAACCCGGGCCCATCACCGACAGCTCGGCGCGTGCAAGTGAATTCATTCTGGGGCAAACTTCGATTCACCGGCGGCGTGGGGATCCTTTTCCTCTACCACGACTTCTTGCCGATGGGCGAAGTGCTCCTCAATCTTCTTTTGAACGACTGCAACGGCGGGTTGACGCTTCGGCTCGGACTTTAAACCACCTCGCCGCAGTCCCTTTTGTTGCCGGCCCTGCCTCAAAGAGTCTTCCCTTGACCCAGGTACAGCAGTGGATCATGGACGACCTTC